CTTAACTGTAACATAATTACCTTGAACATCAAAGAATATATCCAATATAAATGCATTCCTTTTTAAGGTACTGTGAAATGTAAAGTACAAGTACAAATGCAGAAAAAGATAAATATGAGATACTTGAAAAATTTTACTTGAGATTTAATTATAAGAGATTATCATTAACATTTAGCAAAGCAGAATTATTGAAATACAGTAATACCCCAAACTTACGCAATAGGTGGGACCAAGCGATAACCGCGTAAGTCGAATTTGCGTAAGTCGGGGTATAATTTCGCAATTTGTGTAAAATCCAAGTCAGATGTATGTAAGCTAATAAATGTTCTTGTTAATCTTATCTCGTCTTTTGATTCGTTCACGGTTACAAGAAATCACCACATAGAGTCTCTCGAGTTTCCATAGAAATAAATAATACAAAATAAATTGTAGCTATGCGTCGATTCTGCGTGGCACGTCCGAACATGTAAGCTAAACAATAGTGTGAGGGAACTGAGTAATCAAGAGTTGCGTGGCGCTCAAACAAGACGAATCGATGAGATTTGAAAATTGCGTAACTCTGGGTTCGTGTAAGTCGGGGTAGCGTAAGTCGAGGTATTACTGTAATCAAAATATTCTTTGTAAAATCAACAACAGGCTAAGAAAAAAATATCAAAATTGTGGCACCGAACCTGGCCGTTCAAATCTTAAACATCTTTACCTTAGCCATCAACGCACCTATAAACAAGAGATCAAAGAAGCAAAAATCCAATCCTGGAGACAGTTTTGCACGGTCGCCTCAGCCAATCCCTGGGGCTACCTTACGAAGCTCTGCACAAACAGACTCAGGAAAACACAGATCCTAGTTAACAAAAATGCCGAGTCTACAAGCAGCAATTACTTTGATACACTTGAAAACCAAATGAATTCTTTCTGCATCAGTGACAGCCTGGACAACGATTCCCCCTGGCATCACCATATTCGAAATGAAATGCATGCCCCAATCCACACTGATAACTCCCCAAATTTCGACCATCATGAAATCAATCAAGCCTTTATGAGCTTGAGCAATAATAAAGCGCCGGGCATTGATGGCATTAATAGTAAACTGGGAAAGGCCATTTGGAAACTGATCCCTGGGCAAATTACCAACATGTACAACAGCTGTCTCCAAACCGCTACCTTCCCAGCTAAATGGAAAATAGCCAAAATCATTCCTGTCCCAAAACCCGGGAGGCCCAACGAAGCCAGGCCAATTTCGCTACTCCCTGTCTTTGGGAAAGTCTTGGAGCGGCTCATTACTAATTGACTAACTTGGCACATAGAATCGAACTTCATTCTCAGTGAAGCACAGTACGGCTTCCGCCGGCAACGTTCCTCCTGCGATGCAGTCCACCATGCCACCGAGAACATCAAACGCCTTCTAGACACCTATAAATACGTTTTGGCCGCCAGTCTAGACATTTCCAAAGCGTTTGACTCAGCCTGGTGGCCCCTCATCCTCTTCCAATTAAAGCAAATCAACTGTCCTGCTAATCTCTATTACCTACTCAAAGACTACTTACATGAACGGAAGGCCTACCTCCAACAAAGAACACAACACACAGAAAGGAACATTGTCCGTGGGTGCCCACAGGGTTCGGTCTGCGGACCGCTCCTGTGGAACCTCCTTTTTGACACTTTTCTACAGGAAAACTTCGGACAGGACAATATCACAGCATATGCTGATGATGTCCTTATCCTAATAGGAGGAAATTCTCGAGCGGCTCTAGAAAAAAGGGGTAACGAGACTCTAGCCAAGATCCATGAGTGGGGTACAAAGCGTAAGATTCAATTCAACCCCAATAAGACAAAGTGTGTGGTCTTTAATAAGCCCGGTGGACCTAACCTGTACCTTCGTACTCCTACAATACGCATGAACAACCACTCAATTAAAGTGGAAAAAACCATAAAATATCTTGGCGTATGGCTGGACCATCGATTGAGTTGGGATGATCACATTAAATACACTGCCAACAGAACCAACATGATCTTCCAGGCGTTCTCTCAGATAGCCCGCAGGAAATGGGGCCTAAACTCCAATGCAATGAGTATCATCTATGACTATATATACACGCCTATCATTACATATGCGTGTGGCAGTTGGGGCTGGGTGGCCAAGAAGATGCATTCCCACAGGAAGCTAATATCTTCTCAACGAAAAGGTCTCATACATATCTCTAGAGCATATCGTACCACACCAAACAGTAGTTTACAAGTTATCACTAAGAAACCACCTATAACAGATATTATCAACGCTAAGTATGAGCTCTGGAGACTCAAGACGGGTCACAGCATCAGCACCATCAACTATGACATACCAGCCACAAGTTACGAAAAAATGAGCCCAGTTGCTGACCTTACCGCTCCCTACATCAACGATCATATCAGCACAAATCCTCCTACCGAACCTGACCTGAAAATCTACACCGACGGCTCTGGGATTAACGACAACATAGGCTGCGCCTTCGCCGCCTACAAAAATAATCAGGAAATTTATCATCAAGGATTTCGGCTAGATAGCCTTTGCACGGTTTTCCAAGCCGAGCTAAAGGCAGTCCACATGGCCATAAACTGGGCCGAAGAAAATCACAATCAACAGAGCATCTCAATCTATACAGACTGTCAGTCTGCTATTGACCTCATCAACAGTAACAAGCCTCATCCTATTGCCACCGCAATTAAGAAATCTGCTCTTAACTCGAACAACCACTACTTTATTAGCTGGACCTGCGGACACCAAGGAACCATCGGAAATGAACGTGCAGACCAACTAGCTAAGACTGCCGCCAACGATAACTCCCTCCAGCCTATATATTGCAAGCTGAGTCTTCCTAAAATCAAAAAAATCCTCTATAACGATCTACTACTACGATGGCAGAATTCCTGGTGCCACAACCATAGCAACTCCACCTTCAACTTTATTCCAGACATCCTCAAGCACCATAACTGTAACAAGCATTGGTACCCCATCGATCCAGACATCACCCGATTCATCAGTGGCCATGGCAAGTTCTCCAGCTTCCTGCACAGGTTTGCTAATAAACGCACCCCTCTCTGCGCCATCTGCGGGGAGGTTGATGGCCCAGACCACTACTTATACAGATGTGTTGGCCTCGAACAAGAAAGGCTCGCTATTGAGCTTGCCGCCAAGAATTTGAACATACCATGGCCCTGTCAGCAGCATGAGCTTATCAACAACAAAGAACTGTTTTTGCTTCTACAAAACCTTGTACACAGCCATGCTCTGATCGCCACTACTACTACGAGGGACTAACCACGTTTTCCTATCCTACCATTTGTTGTTGTGATGTTCTTCCTTTTTGTTTATAATAAGCTGCTTTATTTAATTACTATACAACTTGTCCTTTTTAACGTGTAACACGTGCAATATATTGTATATATCCTGTATTTACTTTAATGTAAATGTTACATCAATCTGTTTCATATATTGTATTATAAATATCGAATTGTATTATAAATATTGTATCTGTATATACTCACCGATTTACTCTTACTATTGTAACTATGCACTGTATTACTTTAATATTTTAATATTTGATCAATTATTATAACCATTTATGTACACATCTTACCAATTTAATGTTATTGTATTTCTCTGTATCGAATCCCGGCAATGCTATGCGGTACTGGGAATGTACTATTTATAGTATCTAATAAACGATATTGATTGATTGATTGTAATCAAAATCTGTTAATCAAACATTTTATCCTACTGCTGAAAAATTTTTTAAATATTGAATGTTTGAATCTAATCTAACAAATGGAAACTTTTCTCTAAATAAATTTTTTAGAATTGTGAAAATTGTTGGAAAAGATACTTTTTTATTTCCAATGTAACATAACAACAGACACTAGTGAAGTAATTTTCACTAATTTTTATTGTTTAATTCTTGAAAATTGTATGATAAATTTTTATTTTTCAGGTATCAAATTATTTATCTTCAGATAATAATCAGGAATCAATCATTATAATTAGATTATACAATATAATATTTGCTTAAGTCATCATAATGATAATATACTTCAAATGTTATTTCATAATTATATTTAATAAGCTTAAAAATTAACAATAATTCAATTTCTAATTTGTATTACAATTATTTGAGATCATTAGATAAATCTGATATTTAGTGATCTCAGATTTAGTTTAAGAATTCCAAAGTTACTTTTTTTAATTCTACAAAATTATTTCCAGTTTGATGCTCAAAAGCCTCAAATATTCTAGAATTGAAAAACAAATGTATGCTGTGATTTTTATACACATATATAGAATTATTATTAATTATATCAAACAATCATATTACCTAGCTTTCATATAAATGTAAAGATCAGAATTTTTAAAGTGTTATTATGAAATATATTTTTGAAATCTATAAATTACAGCACCTTATTACAAAAATTATAACAAGTAACCAATCTTAATTCAGGAACTGCTTGTTTTTTATTGATAAAAAACGTACACTATGCCATAGACTGCATTAATTAACAGCAAAAATTTCCTTGAATATGTGAAGAAAACTGTTAGGCAAATCAAATGATAAAAAAAGCATTTAAGCTTTTGAATTATGTTTGAATACTAATTGGTATTTGAGTAATTTGGCATTCTAAGAACATTAATTATTTGAGAAAAAGTTGTTCCTTTATATATACTGATAATGGTCAAAAAATGTTTTATCAGTAAAAAACAAGAAGTTCCTGAATTAAGAGCAGTTACTTGTTATAATTTGAAATATTTTTGAATAAACATATCAAAATTTTATTTTTAATATGGTTATTTAAAATTTTAATTATATTTAATAATAATAATAATTCTTTAGAAAGTGCAAGAGTATTTTACAAGAGAAATAACTTGCATATTTTATTTTGCAAGTTATATCTTTTGTTAAAGCTCAACTATTATTATTTGCCTAAATTGATATTACAATTATTTTAAAATTATAAATGTTTTTCATTATTACCTGTTTCATTGGTATCTGTTTCCTTAGTACGACAAGTTAAATAGCGATCATTCATAAGATACTGTCTTCTCTTCTTCCTCCATCTTTTTGCAGGATAAGTATATAGCTGTCCATCATTCATTCCTGGCATTCTTTGCCACTTTTGCATCCATAGAGCACAGTCACTCTGAGCAACACCTGTTTGTGCATCTAAAAATGGTAATCTCATTTTCCTTTCTACACGAAGACGAGTATTATAACTAGCAGAATTTTCAATGGCATCTTTATAAAATGGATCACTGAGAATGCTGTAACAAAAACTTTTATGTAATATTGGAATTTTTAAAATATGGCACATTATAAACTATTGTCTGATCAATTTATACAATATATATACAAATTTTATTCATTAAAACATTTAACACTTATATATTAACTATTGTTCTACACTTTCTGAATTAATCCAAATTGGAAATATGTGATTTTTAGGCTAAAATTAATATTGGGTATTTGGAATAATGCTTAATTGTTCTTAATTACAGAAAAACAATACAAATACCATGAAATAGGTAATGTTTAGTAGTTCTGTCCTATATTAAAATAACTTTCCATTTTAATTTTATATCATAATATTGTCTTGAAAGGCATTTTAAATGTTAAAAAGGAATTTAAATTCATTACTAACAAAATTCACTTAGACTCATGTTCAGTAGTATAGCTGAAAATAAGTGTTAATGCATGAAATACTATATGATCTATACATGATGACCGCTGATCATTGGTTTAGACTACAAATGTAAGATGACATTGATTGTAAACCATCTATCTGGAAAGTTCTGAGAATACTGTTCTAAAATATCCAAAAGTAAATAAAAAGACTTAATCAAGTACAAAACGACTACTAATCCAAACACTGCATTGAGTAACAACAATTCACAAAACCTTTTTATAACAGTGTTGTGTCCTATAACAATCTTCACAAACATTTTCGACCTCCACCGAGGTCTGCTTCAGGTGGTGACTAAATGGTGTCTCCTCTTGACCATTGGAACAATAACGCCCAAGATGTCATTGACCATCCCCCACACCGCAGTGGCAGCCCCCTGCCTATGCTGGACGGCGGCCACCAACCTGTTAAGAATGATAGACACATGGTCGTCCGGTTCAACCAGCATTTAGACCCCCTATATAGGGAGATTGCTTGCTGTAATCAAACAAAGATCGCGTACAGGAGAACCGGTACTATTTATGACCTGCCATGCAATGCCAAGGACACGATAAATCTTAACAGGGCCCCAGGGTATACTCCATTCCCATCAGGGACGATAGATTCCATAGAGACTTAGTTTACATTGGCTCCACCATCTGCTCAACACAAAAACGATTACGTGAGTATTAAAAATAACAGGCACACCAGTGTCTTGTCGGCCTACATTATCGACCCTGAAATTCAGGTGGACTTCCAAACACCAAAGTAATCAGATAGGCGTTTTCGTATTGATCACATTCATCACCTGGAGGCCTGGGAGATTTATAAAGCCAACATTGGGGGCACCTGCATCAACTTTAAAGATGGTGAAACAATCGTGCAGGCGTGGAGATACTTATTTGAAGAATTTGAACTGGGACAAGCGGAGGGGTGAAACACGATACGCGCATTATTTTCATCTCGGGCATCATCGTTCTAATGGTCAAGGGGAGACACCATTTAGTCACCACCTGAAGCAGACCTCGGTGGAGGTCGAAAACATTTGTGAAGATTGTTATAGGACACAACACTGTTACAAAAAGATTTTGTGGATTATTGTTAAAGACTTAATCATTATGATGTTCTACATAGTTGCCCCTCTTCTCAATGTGACATTGATAATGTTCATGTAACTCAACCACTGAAAGCTGATTGAAAATTCTTTTGTAATTCTCTTCAATTCTCATGTTGCATTGCTTGAATGTTTTATAAATCATTGCACTGTTTACCCTTCATGTGCATCTTGAACTGTGGAAAGAGAAAAGTCACATGGCACAAGATATGGTGAATAAACAAGCATGGGGACTTGTTTTTGAGCTAAAAACTGTAGATTCCAAAGGGCTGGCACATTGTCATGAGGCAGAAAATAAATCTTTTGCTTCCTGTTTTTTGAGGTGAACATACTGAATCCTGTTGCAAAGACATTCTAGCACATTCAGGCAAAAAGTTACAGTGGTATCTACTGGGATAAATTTTTATATGGACAAGACCACCAATCTCGAAAAATGTGATGAGCATCACCTTTATTTTGGATTTGATCCTTCAAACTTTGCTTGGTCTTGGCTCACCAGTATGCAACCACTCAGAACTTTGCCTTTTTGTTGTAGGTTCATATTGGTAGCACCAGGATTCTTTGTTAATAATGATTTTTTGTAGGTAAGAATCTTTAGCTTCTACCATTCCAATGAAGTCACAGCAGACATTCATGCACTGTTCCTTTTGCTTTTGAATCAAACTAAGTGGACACTTTGCACACCTTTCTTTTCTTCAATGTGTCTCAAATAATTTTGTGCACAACTGTCTTACTAATGTGATTTTCTTCACAATCATTCTGTGTATCAAATAATGATTGGCAAGCAAATCACAAATCTTCCCAATGTTTACATCGATCAACTTGTGGCTGGATGTCCTGCCCTTGCATCATCTTCAAGTAATTTCCTCCCTTCTTGAATTATCTCCATATACAATTTTCATAGCATGTAAACATTTAGGTCAATAAGGAGTGTACTAGAGTAGTTTGTATATAGTGACTTTGTAGCCTGGGTCAGTGCTAATTAATAAAAACAATCTATATATTTAAAAGCAAACAAAATCACTTAGTTCACACACTTCCCATTGATCAAATTTAGCAAATGAGGTCTCATATTAAATTTCATGACTTCTAGATGTGTAGAAAACAATAAAAATTTGAACATATTCCAGCTTGATCAAATAAATTCTGATTTTAGTGAGTTTTGATTAGTCACATGACAAGTAGTATTATCAACTGGTCTATTATTACACTCCTCAAAAGTAAAATTGCAATACCATGAAAGAATGTGCATAGCCATACACGACAGAGGTGACAAAGACTTGCAAATCATTAAGTTTGTGTATGCATAAGGTCATATGGTATCCAGTTTTGAGTTAAAAAGATCAGCAGCAGGATCAGCATGTAAATGCTATCAGCAACAGCCCGTGGTAGCCAAACTTATAAAGATGCATAAAAAATGCCTTAGAGACAATAGTGAGCTGAAGACCGCCAATTAATGGCTTGGGAACGAAATTGTATCCCAAAGCTGCATGACTTCAGTCCATCAACGAACATAGTTGCATGTTGGACATGATGTGAGTACCATTCAGTTATGTGTAATATGATGGATGCAGAAACATCTGTGAACATGCCAAAGAGGGAGTGTCTTGCATTGGTGCACAGACCAGCATATTTGCTGAATGGCCCTTTGGGATACATTCACCAGTGCATGTGACATCCAAAGTTGCATGGTGCAGTCAATGGGTGCATCTGTGTTCACCCAAACCATTCACATGTTGCATGAAGTCAGGCTGCATGCATGGCAACCAGTAATGGGGTACCATTAACCAGTTAACAAGGAGCTGGATGTCTGACATGTCATCATCATTGCAACTGGACCACTGAATAGCATCAGGTATTGTTTATGGATGAATCCCACTTCTGTCTGTGGAGAAATGACAGCTGTAAACAGATGTGGCAGTATCCAGGGAAATGCTATGTACAGTACCAGTCCTTGGGGACAGGGCTGTCTGCTGATTGAACATGATGTCTGGTGTGAGCCAGTGTGACACCAGGCATCATGTTTAATCAGCAGACAGCCCTGGTGCACATTTCCAGTACTCTGACAGCAGACCAGTATGTCACAAATTACGAGGGTCTGTGGTTCAGCCACTGGTGCAGGCTGCACCTGACAGGTTCCAGCAAGACAATGTCTGACTGCACATCGCATGGCAAACTCTCACCAGTCTGAATGGAATTCACATCCTTCCCTGGCCAGCAGAATCTCTCTCCCATAGAACACCAACATGTCCTTGTCTGAAATGAGGTGTACCGGAGCTACCACCACATAATGTAGATGACATGCACACCACGGTGGACACAGCTTGGCAAGGGATACCTCAGGCAACCATTAATTGTCTCATTGATAGTATGCCTTGCCATATAATAGGAGCCATATTTATTACTGAATAAACAGGTGTCTGTTGCATATCTTTGTTTGTTCTTTTAATCATTTGCATATGTCTCTCACCTCAACCAGTCCTGCAATGTGCATGTGGCTACATGCATTCCTTTGCAGTGTTGTGATTTTACTTTTGAGGAGTGTATTTGTATATTTCATAAAAATATAAAGCTTCAAATACATATGTAATGTTTATACAGTAAACCTGTTCAAAATGGAACCCCTACCAAATTAGAAAAAATATTCAGTACCATGTGAGTCCAGTTTACACATGTTTTACTGTATTTATAAAAATTTACATTTGTAGTGTTGAATTTATTACATGTTTTACTTTATATATCTGATATTAAATTTATTTTGTTCATTAAAGTTTGCTTAACTATTGAATAAAACATTAGAGGTAACAAGTTGAACCAACTATTGAATAACTGAAATTGAATATTGAAAGGAGGAAATATAGTGTTGAGAATAAAGACAGAGATTTGCTCCTCTCACCTTCCATGTACAGGAAGTGCAAGGTGAGAGAATGATAAGAGGCATAAGAAAAACAGATAATAAAGGATAGCTAGTAATAACTTGTTATAATCTAATCTATTAATCAATTAGGAATAACCTAAAACATTATAGAAAGGATTCTTAAGACAGACATAAATAAAAGTCAGGACTGCTGTGAGCCATGTAAACCGATGCAAGAAATTTTCTTTCTTGAATTGTTATATGTATATCCAAATAATTAACTTGTAAATCACTAATTTGATCTTCATTTAAAGTTAGGCTAACTGTATTTTGATTATTTTCTTGATTAAAGGAAGATATACTTGATCTTCTTAAGTAGGAATGAGCAACCTTTTTCTATGTAAGGGCTGCATTTCAAAACTCTTGAATTGACATGGGCAGCATACAAGAGAAAAGAGAAAAAAAATGTTGGTAAATCACAATTATTTATTTATATATAATTATAAATTATCATAAGTATACTTAATTTAGCTTCTGAAACCGATGTAAATGTAATATATCGGAAATATTTGGTTAAATATTAATCACTGCTAGTTTTAAATTAGTTTCAATGTGTCTGTTACCTGGTTTC